TCCTAAATGGATAAATTCTCAAACGACAGAACGACAAAACGCCAAAGACCTGTTCGATACTCAGGATACGTGAGCAGAAGTGGGGGTTGGCACTATCAGAGAGGCCCTCATCGTCTTCTCTCAAATGAAGGCGGCCTCCCGTAACTGGAAAAAACTGCGAAATACACGAATAATTGAAGAAGCAGAGGCTAACATGGGTCAGGATCCCTTCTCGGACCACTACTGGTCCGAAAAGAGGACATATGCTCTCGCGACATTAGAGGCCTTGGAAATTTAAAAGCAGGCGAGTGGCTGGAGTGGCTTAAACTCCGGGGCATAATCGGATACGATAAAATGACCAAACTCACTTTTCGATCGTTGATTCTTAGACAGACCAAACAGGCGATACGGGAATTGGTACATCCCTTTGATGTATACAACCCTATAACGTCAAATCCATTAGAGCTCTGCTCTTATGCGCTCTCGTACTTTCGGGATATTGTTTCTACAAGGAGATCTTTCGATGAATTTAACACAGACTTGTCTCTTACTTCATCCTTTTGGAACAGATCACATGCTTGCATTAACCAGACATCAAGAGAAATAATGGATTATCCCTTTACGGTTAAAGAACTAATTGTTACAGTTAAGCAAATGGCACATGGGAAATGTCCAGGTTTAGATGGGCTCCCGATTGAATTATTCCTCTGTACATGGGAAGGATTTCCCCCCTTCCTTTGTCAGATTTATAATTCAGCCTTGAGTACAGGCTCTCTAACAGGAATTTTTGTAAAGGGTTTTATTTCCTTACTATACAAAAAGGCAGATAAGTGGGAAATCCGGAACTACCGCCCCATTTTTGTTCTTAATGTTGTTTACAAAATTATGGCCAAGGCCCTAGCAATTCGCCTGGCAGCAGAACTTCCCCAACTAGTGGGATGGGAGCAAGGGGCTTTTGTCAAGGGCTGGTCAATCTTTGAAAACATTCTAACAACAATGCAAGCCTTGGAAGTAATCGGAGTAGAAAAGAGATAAGTGGTGGTCCTAATGCTTGACATTGAAAAGGCGTACGATAAAGTGGGGTGGGCCTTTGTTTCAACGACCCTGAAAAGAATGGGATTTGGCCCGGGGTTTCTCAAATGGATCCATGCATCATATGCAAGCCCCACTTCGGCAATCATGGTCAATGGACATCTGCCCGAGAAATTCCAGTTGACCCGTTCACTTAGGCAAGGGTGCCCCCTTGCTCCGTTACTTTTCGTTCTCCAACTCGAAGTTTTAATAGATAATATTAGATACAATGATAGTATTACTGGGTTGATAGTTAGCCCTTCCCTCCATTGGAAAGCAGGAGCCATCGCTGATGACCTGACAGTCACATGTGAAAACTCCCGCTCTTCCCTAGGAGAATTGAGAAGGATGTTGGATGAATATTGTATACTTTCGGAGGCATCACTAAATTGGTCCAAATCAGTCTATTTTTTACCAGATATCCTTCTGTTGAAAGTAGACTGGGGCTTGAGAAGAATCCCAACAGAAAATTCAGAAAGATTCTTAGGTATCCAAGTTGCTCTTAAAGATCGTTCAAGGACACACAGGATCAACTGCTGACCAACCGGGTCATTGCCAGAATTCAGGGATGGCTCAGGAATTACAAGCTCTCTTTGTTTGGGAGAGCTCTAGTTTTACCAGCGGCAGCCTTTTCAGTGCTTTGGTTTCCCTTGCCGGTTCGCTTGTTAGGGGATGAGGCGTATACTGAAATTCGCAGAGCGGCCGCCAGGTATTTATGGAAACCTTCTGCTGAGGAAGATCAGGGCTATATACCAAAGCTGGCCTGGGAGGTGGTTTCTCTTCCACGATCACAAGGGGGCTTGGGGATTCTAGACCCCCACAAACAGGACCTGGCCCTTCTAGCTAAGTGGGTAATCAAAGCCCTTTTAGAGGACCCCACGAAGCTGTGGGTAAAATTTGCACAATATATATTGGGACAGGAATGGTCCTTGAAGGAGGAGACATGCGTCTGGCAGTGTTGTCTTATTCCCTCCTTTCTGAACTGAAGAGTCGAGTCCAGAACCTGGCGAAGTATTCTGGGTGCATGGAAGAAGGTGCGCCCGACAATTTGCCGAAAGCCATCCACAAGACAAGAAGTGGCCAACCAGGTCTTGTTTGAGAATCCATTGCTGGTCAACGACAGGGGTGATATGTTTTTGGCAAAAGGAGGGGGGGGGGCATTTTAGACATACTTGGATAGAAAGAGGGGTCGTCCAGATCAAGCACATCTGGAATTATGGTAATGATGATTGGCTTACGGGTGATGAACTAAGGCAAAAACTTCCGAGATTGAGGCAAGTTCCTGCAAACCTGGAGAAGATTCTCCAGGCAGTTCCCAGACACTGGTCGACAATGCTAAGATCAACCACAGAACTGGGTGAAGGATCCTGGGCCCGCTCGGAGGAGGATGACGGCAAGTATTGAAAGATCTTGGGGCCGGAGTTATCAGGGGGTATTAAAATTGAAGAATGGAATCTTAGCAGCACAATGGCAGGTAGTGGTAGGCTAAGGAAAGTCCAGGAAACCGTAATCCAGACTGCGGTGGGCCTGGAGGAAGCTAGAGTGCTGCAAGCGGATAGGACCTGTCTCCTATTGGGAATGGGGGAAGACTTCATAGTGGAACTCATGCTGTACACGTGGGTGCTTGACTCCGAGGGCTTAGAAGGACAGAACACAATACTTCTATTCCAGTACAAGCCAAGAGTAGGAGTGAGATCACTCCACCAACGCTCCACATTGACACCAATGACGCTGGCATCTAGACGGTTTAGGAAACTGAAAGGTCCTGATGGCCAGCTGCCTAATTGGTTTGCCATGTGGAGAGCTCTTAAGAAAATACCTTCTCAGAAAAATGCCAGTCTGCAGTGGATGCAATCATTAATGGTCACCCCTACTGCCCACTGGTTGTCTCAGAAAGGAGTGGACGTACCTCCTACCTGCACCCGCTGTCAGTGACTCAGTGGGGTTGGGAATCGTTTGTGCATCTGTGGACCTGTTGCCCTTTGGCCAATGAATTGTGGATGTGGTGGTCCGAGCATTGCGACAGTTGGCAGGGAACACGTTCGATTGGAATGATGATTGGAATCTTTATGGCCTTCTCCCAGATACTGATTTGAAATATTCAGAGAGAGTGGGTTATTTGGCTTTGGTCTGCAGGGGCATATTGTGCTATGAAATTTGGAAAGCAAGAAATGCCAGTGTTTTCAAGGGAGAGAAAGTCTCGGTGTTCCAACAACAGCAGCAGGTTCGCTCCAATCTCAGACTGACGGTTATTTCAGACTGGAGGAGCTGCACAGCGCGCCGGGGTCGCTCCCTTTTGGAGAGGTCGCTCCCTTTTGTGGTTCTCCAAAACCTGGACAAGAAACAGTTATTCGGCAAAGTTATCAAATGAAGGCAAACTGATTTTGTCCCCTTGGTTGAAGCCGCTTTAGGCTCTACTCATAAGGGTAGCTGAGTTAAGACCCAAGTAATTTCTGTCTGGTTTCTAAAAAGATAAGGTTTTTTGGGTTGATTTTATGCAGTTAGCCAGACACCTTGGGCTAGTCCTGTTAGGGTTAAAAGGGGGAACACACTCAAAGATTTAAGTAGGTATCTCCAATAACGTTCAAATTCCCTTTGGGATTAGCTCATCCACCTTTTTTACACTGTGCTTTAAAGTTTTACTTTTTGGAAAGCTGTTAAGAATGGGATGCTGGACCGGGTTTCCAGCCGAGAGAAGGTTTATTTTGAATAGAGACATTCGAGCTGGGATCGTAAGCGAAACTGTCTGAGGCTGCCAGGATAACACCGGGTTGAATTGTGAGGGCCAGGATAACACCGGGTTGAATTGTGAGGTCCCCGGCCTCGTCCCCATTTCCTATGTTAAAGCTTTCCAAAAAAAAAAAAGAAAAAGAAAAAAAATTGGCCAGGTTTACCTGGGCACCCGACAGCTGCCCCTCACTTTCACAATCCTGGTGGGAATCGTGATTAGTGAATCTCAAGGGTGTAGTGGAATGCCGCCGCCCTTGAGATTTTCTCAAAGTTCAGGGTAGTGGAACGAGCCCCCATTTCTTTTCCCAAGTAATTTCCTCAAAGATGGTGGAAGGCAATCCTGGTCCAGCTGGAAAACATGTGCACCATTTTCTAATAGCCCTGCTCACTGG